AAACCATCCTTATTATTTGTGTACATCATAAGCCAAAATATGTCTAGGCGCACATCTGAGAGGCAATCCAGTCAAACTACCCAAGGTTCTTCATCACGCAATGAATAACAAAGTTCATCTTCACCCTACGAACGTCAACGCTTGACTGGCCGAGCAGCATGTGGTGTAGACCTAGTTCGTTCACCACTCGGAGGCAGAGACCGGTGTAACTTGGTATGGACAAAAGCGTGAGTTTCATAATGAGCCAATCGACTCTTATCACTAATTCGGTCAATTTGGACACGTATTTGTGGGGCCTGCGATCGACTCTCTGCCTCCGAGTGTTCGTATCGAACCCATGCCAAAATGACGATAGTTATATGACAAATATTGTGAGCTTGAAGTATACAGTTGTTGACATGGATTAATAGTACCGAAGGCACGTTCGGTTGATATATATGATCCACAAAACTCTACCAACCATAACGAGATCATAACAAGGTTTGAACATGAAAATGATCAGATGCAACATAGACTTGATCGTTTGCATGCAATTGACCATGCAAAAATTAAGCATTTCGATCCTGATTATGCTGAGATTCAAATTTTGCAGGATCCATGACTTGTTTTAGATACAAAACTTTTTGATTATTCTGATTTAAGTGATGATGCATCTGACACATTTATTTCATCGAGTTTATGTGTACTCTGCAAACCTCTATGTTGTTTTTTATATCAACCAAAATATTGACAGACTGTATTTCTTACAGTGTCATGTAATAAAATTGTTTTGTTTTAATGTATAAGTATCTTTTTCCATATTTTGAAGTTTTGCACACTTTTGTAGGTCAACTCTCAATTTTTGATGAACTTATAACATAAAATTAGAATACATAATTTTTTAACATATATACAAAACAAATTTCTCAAAATTAATTACAAAATTCATCTACTACACACACAAACAAACAATTAAAGCATTCTTTTATAATGACGTTTTTAAAAACGTCATTTAAAGTGACATTTTGTGGGTAATTTTCTTTTAACCCCTGATCAGTTTGTCGTATCAAACCAAATGACATTTTCAATAAAAAAAATTTAATTTCATTTTGTCATTTTAAATGGTGTTTTCATCATGAAAACGTCATTTGGAATGACGTTTTTAAAAAAAAAACTGGGTTTGAGAAATAAAATTTTAGGGCCGACTGGATTTGGGAAAAAGCTCCTCCAGATTGGGATGCTTTTATGACGTGGAAAGTGAGATTTTAATATTGAAATTTTTTTAAATCAATTTAGTAAAACATGGATTAAATACATACTTTTTGATATAAAAGTGTGTTTCAAAACACGCTTTTAAGTTTTTCTATTACAAATATGTTTTTATATTGAAAAATATTAGTTTAAAATATGCTTTTATGAAATTTAATTTTGATTAGAAAATAAGTTCAAAATTATTATGAAAAGGGAATTAAATTCTAAAATTTATTCAATTTTTTTTCCTGCCTGATGATTTATGATGTGAGACAAAAGATGACTTTCATGAAATTTATTATAAGTCGGTTGTTAGAGACAAAATGCGGCTATTTGGGAATAAGAAAACGTTATTGTAAATGAGGTTTTCTATCCCTTTTTTTTTAAAAAAATTTATATTAAAAAACGACATTAGAAATGACGACTTTAAAAACGTTATTATGAACAATGTTTTCAATAAAAAAATTTTAACTTAAAATTTTTATTTCTAATGAAGTTTTAATATCTGAAGGCGTCATTTCAAATAATATTTTTGAAAAAAAGTTAAATTTAAGAAATAAGTTTAAATTTGATTGAGTTGAAGAATAATCATTTCGGAGCTGGGTTTGAGGAAAACCTCGTACTACTTCCATATGATGGTAGCAAGACGTAAAAGGAAACGATAGAAAGAAATAGCGAATGCAAGAGGGTGTCACTTGAATTTAGGTAGAGGCTTTGAAATGTCCACTATCACTTGCAACCTTGGCAAGAATTTGGAGACACGAGGGCGTCACTGAAGATAACATGTAACAAGTTTCTTCATTCCATTTTCCCATTTTTTTTTTAACTCATTTTTTTTGTTTTTTTTTTACTCTGCTTGTGGGAAATAACAATTAACAGAATAATGCTATTCCCACCAAGATCATTCACCAGAATTCCCTCACTTAGGTGGGAGTGGGCTGAGTGGCATTGCTGCAAATTACATGAGTTGCCAAAGTTGAATGTAGTATGCTTTGTCTATATTGCTCTATTTATCCATATGTCGTGTATGCAGAGTTTTTTTTGTCTCTATAGCCTTCAAGACATTACATTTTTACCCATTAGCAGTGTAGCAATTTAATGATTTATATGCAATCTGAGATCAATAAGGACAAAGTATATGTTGCCATCATGCAGGGCCCAACGGACCTTTATTGTAGCATAATTGACAATTATTCAAATAGCGACGAATTTAGACTCAATTTCCTCAGTTATATCTTAGATATTTTTTCAAGATAGAAGTTGTATCTTGTCTGAATCCGATCTTAGGATAATTTCAATTGCCATTGCAAAAAAAAAAACTACACTGGTTTTTGCGTTTTCATTTGGAGATGGGGGTTTTGCTTTCATGGTCTTCAGTTTTTGGGTAATGGACTACCTCTCTTGTTTTCGTGTCTTCTTGTGCTATTTCTCATTCTATTTTGAATTATCTTTGTCTCACTCTCTCTCAAAGCCTCCTAAATGTACGTGAAAACATGAACACAAATAAGATATGATGCACTATGACAACAAGTTGGTGTGAAAAATTCTGAGAAGATATTATTCGTCTAAGTGAAGGATAAGAAAGTGAACTACTACTTAGTAATAAAGTAATCCATAAGGCATAAGGGAAGGAATGACAAATATGTTCCATGGGAAATTGAATTGGGAGTTGGTACACAAATTTGGTACAATTTACTATCAGCATTATCCACTTTATCCTCTTTAGGTAAGACCCCAAATACCTCAATGTTCTACCCGAATGCTTGTTTGAATTTGAAACATTCGTTGGAGATTATGGATATCTATAAGAATTATTGGACGCATGCCTTGGAGCCTTTGAAGGGGTACTAATGTTTGATATTTATATGGTAGTGAGGTAGTCTCCTCATTGAAGTTTATGTTCTACTTGGCTCCATGTGTAGACATATACCAAGTACAGGAAGTCATTCCATTTCCAAATGCGTCCTCATTCTCAATTGTATTTATAAAGATAATTGTTGCCCTTGTGCGGAATGGATTATCTTTCATGATTATACACGTGGGATTAGACATTATTTGGGGGTAAATAGGTTAATTTCAATTTCGATTGAACAAACACCAAATTATAACGTAAAATACCACAGTTACCTTTTTCTCAAATTAATTAATCAATTAACAATTGAGAACCCTTTCAACAAGAACAACTCATAAAACCCATTATAATTGGTGTGATGAATTTGTCAATTTTATTGAGTAACACTCTATAACTCACGGCGATCCCATCCAAGTCAATCAACCTACTACCAAACCACTATGTATGATAAAATGCTCAATCAATCATATCAACAAACACACAGTGTCCATGTGTGCTACAAATCACAGATGTGTACAATAAAGTAATAAAGAACACAAACAATTTGTTGACGCGAAAACTTTTCTTGGAAAAAACTGCCAGGAACCTCTCGGGGTTCACCAAAGCCTAAGTCAGTATCCCACAATCAATCTACAGGTACTTAAATCTTACACCTCAACCAATATCATGGTTAGACACATTTTCTTCAACAGATCTCTCCACCGGATACACTCACCGATATCTTGGATAACAGTACTTGAACTCCCCACTGCATAGTTTGTTTAGGTCTCGAACACTCCTAGGACGCACCCTAAAATCTTGGGATGTAGACTCTTCAAGTGGGGTTTTTTAGAACCAACAAGTCCTTCTTCTCCAAGATGTGAGGTTGAATAGGAATCACAAAAGGGCTTTAATCTTTGGATTTATGGATCTAAGATTGCTCATAAGCTCTCAAGGTTTTAGATATGCAGAAATTGCTCTCAAGAGGCTTGCTCAATGTTCTCTCAAGATTTATAGGTAAGAAATAAGATCACATGAAAGATACCCTAGCTTTAGCTCGAAATAGAGTTTGTCTTGGGGACCAAGTAAAACCAAAATGCATGAACCACCGCTCGAGTACTGGGAGGACATTGAATGAAACAAGAATTCAAACCAAGGCAGTAAAGCAGGGACTACTTGAGTCGTCTCAAGACTTCTCGAGTGGTTCAAACTTTCCCCATTTTATCCCCATCATAGACCGCTTTAGTGAAGGTTGGCGATTACAGGGCCATTTCTACTAGTTTTGAAGATAGAAACTAAGCAAAAACTTTTTTCGTTGGGCACTAAAGGGAGTTGTTCAGGTGGTGTCCGATTAATGACTCAATCTATATTTTCAAAACACAATTAAGATTTAAACAAATTTTACTTTGAAAAGCACCTAGGAGTCATTACCGGATCAATTACCAAAATTATTTTACCTAATCAACCTAAATCTAATAAATTATTCCAAGGGTGCTAAGGTCTCTAGGTTATTACCTTTGTCCTGAGCAAGAAGGTGCATAAGGAGAATCTCTTGATGTTGCTTGAAGCACAATCTGCTCCCTTTTATTGATGTGTTCGGATTCTCAACTTTGCAGCATCATGACCAATGTAATAGGTTGAAATTTGCAAAAAGACTTCACGAAATTAGCCAATAACAAACATGATCCTATCAATATTTTTTCATGTCACGTTCTCCATACTTTTTCTGACTTAGAAAGAAGCCACCAAAAGAACATTTATCGTTTCAGGTTGTACTTATTACTAATCTAGGATATTCCTCTATCAGCTAGTAACTAGTTATTATATCCTACTTCTTTGAAAGAGTTTACGCTACTAAAACCTTGCTCAAATTTTCATTTTTACTTATTTTACAATCCTTAAGATCAAGTAAATGTGATATTTTCTGTCTCATTCTTATATGTGCTCTGTTACTGTTAGGTTGAGTACAACATTCAATGAAGTTAGTGTTTACCCTATTCTTGCAGCACTTTATCTTGTCAAGAATTTACTTCAGGTAGGTTTTAATTCTTTCTTGTTCTTGTCTTAGGTAGTTAGCTCTAGCCTTCATCTTTTCTTAAACTTGCCTATAAGTGCAGTATTACATCTTTGCATATGTGGATGCTCCCGGGTACCAGATACTGAAAAACCTGAACATTATCAGCACATGAGTGTTATATCGAATTATTCTCAAGGAAAAGTAAGTGATTCCACCATTTGTTTGGGGATATCCACATTGTGCATTGAAGTTTGAATAGTAGAGTGCCCTCTAAGAATTTATTTGACCATAGTTGGTGGTTTAAAGTGCATGAATCAAGGCATGGACAGAGCTATCTTATTATGTGGTTAATTCAACAGTGGACAACGAAGTTCGCTACTATTTTGATGTCAAACAACAATCTTTAGTGAATATCATTACTTACTCGGGCAGAAACACTCAACCAAACAAGATGCTTATCATGCATTGTCCTCTAATGATTTTCTTTCAGGTTAAGCGAAACTCAATGGGCTGCTTTCATCCTATTGTGTGCAGGGTGCACCACAGCACAACTAAATTCTTTGTAAGAGTGATCATGACCATCTCTTTAATTACATTTTGTGGTGTTCCAAATTTTATTGATTTAGGGTTTGTCTAAGGTGCATTGTCGTTGGTGGAGCATTCAGCCCAAATTCAATTGGGAATGGATTGGAAAAACCTTAAAACATATAAACCAACTTTGGTAGCCCTAATATGTCAATGACACAACGTAGGATACAAGCTCTTCATTCCCTTCCTCACGTGTGATCCAAACTACCTGTGGGCTTACAACGAAACCGAAAAGAGCAGACAAATATACAGAGAAATGCAAATGGGTAATAAACTTGGTCCACTGATTACTTAAAGCCCATCTCTAATTCTATGTTAAAGCATCTAACCCAAAAATCATTTGTTTAACGATGAAAAAGAGGACCGCATGTTACTAGTTTGGGAGGAGTTAATTTATTGATAAGACACGAGATCTAGTATCTTAAGAGAGCTTGTATCCCACATCGAAGGACTAGGGTACCCTTAATGTTGGTTTATATGGTTGAAAAGCCTCCACACTCATTTCCAGTTGATTTAGGGTTGAATTCCTGTAACGTGGTTTACAGTAAGCTTGGGGGGTTTGAACAAGACTTAATTTCATTGATTTGGTAATCAATTCTCCTTTTGTTTATGCAGTAGGTAAGGTGTACCTCTTCTGCCTATGTATGTATTCTGGTTCTTCTGTTTACCTTTCAGCGCGTGAATGGGAGCCGCACGTGTGGGAAGTAGTAAAACCTTTCCCATATTTGTAAAATAACTCCTCTCAAGCTAGTAAATTGGTCTTGTAGGCCTCTCCACTCATGTCCAATTGGTGTTTAGATTGATGCTTTAGTTTCTTGTGGGTTTTGTGTGGGCTATTTGTTTTATGGACCTTGAAAATTGCTTACACCTACCCATGACCTCTTACAGCCCAGCTTGCAGTCAAATGATGAATGGCCTGCTTACACCTAGCAATAACCCTGTGGAGATTCCCATAATTTATTTTTTTCTTCCATTTATCTATCTGTGTACGAGACAAGATGAACATTGTCATTCACTTTCTAAGTTCATTTTTTTAAGGGTTTCATTTGTGCTTAATGCTCATACTTTGTGCAGTTCTGATCATGCCCTGCAGACTTCTTTCCAAGGTTGGGTAATGGCCATTGTAAGTTTTGAGCTTCTGAGGCTGTCTATTAAGTTTAAAAGGTTAAGAATTGACTCTTCCCAGAGATTATACTTCTCAATGTGATGGTCAGTTTTACTTTGCAGGTCATGGCACTTCTAAGCGGTTTTGCATGAGTGTACACCAAGGTAAATGCGTTGGCATTTATTCTGCTGTTTAGTGGTTTGGAATTGTTCGGAGTAAAAGCATAATTTAGTGCTCAGAGGTGTTCAAGAGCCAATAGAATTTTATCTGGATTTTGGGAAGCTAACAATCTGTTAACATTCCCTTGAGAGGATCTTGGTTGCCACCTCGCAGGAAATTGTGAATTATTTGTGAGGTTGCTTCTGCATTCTGCAGGCTATAATTAAAAGACGGCCTTCAAGGAACATAAATGTACAGAACTTCTGGTTGTATGTCTTTGGGATGGGCTTCAATGCTATTGCAATAGTTATTCAAGACTTCGATGCTGTCATGAACAAGTAATTTGAGATTGCTTTCCCCTTCAATTTGTATTCCTATGGTTGTCTACGATGATTTCTAGAAGGTCTAGTTTGGCCAGCATGCCTAGTATCAAACTTAAGAGGTTCCTACAGCTTATATGGTTGTTACAGCATTATGAAAGAAATGTTCAATGCAATCGTTGGCGTGTCAGTTGGGATCCTTATTAGTTGGATTTGAATTTTTTTTTCCTCTCAATACATAAATTTCTCTATTGATTTCCATCAGAGTGTATGCTGGACTCAAACGCTTTATTATTCAAAAGTCGAAACCTTTAATCTCAGAAAATAGCAGTATTTAAAATGTGGTCCATTCCTATAAGTTAAACAATAATTACTTGTTTCACCTTTTTTGCATTACTTATCCAGCTTGTAGAGCAGGTTCAGTGCAAGATTTGAAAAAATTGCACGCATTATAACATATTATGAAGTACTTTTTGGTTGTAATGGCATCAAGATGTTTCATCTCATTGCGAGTCAATCTTCCCCTTTTTCAGGGGTGTCTTCCATGGATACTCATTAATTACAGTTCTCATGATTCTCAACCATGCGTTAAGGTATTTTGTTTCTTCTTTGACCTTTCTGGATTGATGTTAGTGGCAGAATGTTTGTTCTTAGTTAAAAAAACAAATCTATGTTTGTTCTCTTCCTTAAGTTTACCTGTTCTTTAAATGTGCATATAAATTTGTCTGGACCTTGTCCTATCTTTACATAATTTGTTGGGTATGCAGCGGGCTTGCTGTATCAATGGTCATGAAGTATGCTGACAATATTGTGAAGGTAAGACCGGCAAAATATATTTGTATTTCTACTATTGCTGGATCAGCATGGGAATTATTTTTTTAACTTGTTTCTTCTCTGACTGTATTGAACTGGAGTGAATATAGCCATCAAGTGGCACAATTATTGGAGGTGCACATTATAGCTTCAAATTCTTAATGTGCTCTTACAAATCTTTCTAGTTTGCTCGAGTGACTTGCAACTCCAACACTGCATGGTGTCTTAATCTGAAATGTGTACACCTAAATGCAGGTGGTCAAGTTGTAGTAATAATCTGGTTAAGTCCGTAGTCGAATCCACAGAGAACGAACGTTGGTGTTTCGAAGTAAATAGTGACAGAGACCAAAGTGATTGGAACCCTTGAGATTTGAAATTATGATGTTTGTGGAATTTCTTGGACAGAATATAAGATTCTCTCCAAAGGAATTTTCTAAACAAAATATATGATTCTCTTAAATGTAAAAGTCACTCTTTAGCTCGAAGATCTGGACATGTAGTCAATCATCCGGTTGTTATACTTGTGCTTTGGAACTCAATTAACCCCTTTGTCAACATCAAGTTAATTGGAGAATAAACATGAATTGTGAATTAAGAACATAGTTCCGATGTCTTTGTAGAGATTTACAAAAATTGTCTGTGCCGAGACTCAACCCGTCTACAAACAAGCAAGTAATTCTACAAGCTATCCAACCACTGTTGATATTCTATTCTTAGTTGAAGCACAATAATAGTGAATATTGAAATGTAGTCATGAAGATCTAGCTGGAGTACTTGCAAAGAACCAATGAGTTCTCCTATGCCAAGAGCCATCTTTGTCCTAAAAAGGACTTATGGTTATACAAAGTACCTTAACTTTGTTAGATGCATTCAATCATTCAATAAACAAGTAAAAGATAAAGTCTTAACCATAAACGAAATGCACAAATATATTTTCCAAATGATTTATATATGTCCATCATCTCTTACTAAAGAGTGAATGAGAAACTACTCACTTTTCATGGTTTTGAAAAAATTATAAAAGTGAGTGATTCTCATCCCTTCAAGTAGAGGAGCTTCAAGAGAAACTACACTACACAATAAGTCTATTTTCGATGAAGAATGAGTGAATCATGTTCCACCCTTCAAAGCTACAACAGAGTTAGAAAGGTGGAAGAGTTTTACTCCTCTAAGGGAAGAGAGAAGCTCAAACAATGGAAGTTAATGAAACTAATAATAAAAGTAGAAGAAAGTTAGTTACTTTTGGAGGGTTTCTACCTCTTTCAAAAGCTCTCTATGTCTCCCTCTATGTATGTCTATGTATCTCTCTCTAGATGCTTCCTCACAAGTCCATAGAGGAGGTATTCATAGGCAAGGAGGAGGGGGTAAAGAAGAGTAAAAGAATAGTTCAAAGTCCAAGTGAATGCCCCAAGATCCGAATGGACAATCAACCACTCTGCAGCCTGTCTGGAGAATACATTCGAACGTGGTATGACGTTCGAACGTTGACTCTTGTCTTCTTTGATGGGCGTTTGAACACTGACTAGAGTTTGAACATAATACTCAAGTGGCTTTTGTCCTCCACAGTGAAGAGTTGCATGATGCCATGTGTCATCACCCTAGCAATGATCTGGGGGTTCTCAAATAATTCAAGCCACGTTCGAACGTGAATTGGTGTTCGAATGTAGTACTCAAGTGGCTCTTTGTTCTTTTTCTCAGGGAATAACTGCAACACGCCATGTACCATTACCCTAGCAATGATCTGGGGGCCCTCAAATAATTCAAGATGGTGTTCGAACGTGATAGCTTTGCTTCCTCCTTCTCCAATTCTCTTCCAGAACACATGGGGTGTTGCTTGCAAGTTTGGTATTCATTGACTTATTGTAAAAGTATAGTAAGATGTTAATTTTAACTATTCATCACATGGTTCTACTTCACCTATCGTTTTGTTTTGTCCACGATTGTTGTTATAAATAATTATTTTTTTGTTACTTCAAAGAGCATGATGATGGGAAATCTTTTTGGTTGCCTAGTCAAATTTGTGTCGGCCTATATTTCTGTATCACTGCACACAAGAATCAAAATTTTGTTTCAGCGCATAATTTTAGTCGGTTGAAACTGAAATATTATTGAAATGCTTCGGAAACAAAGAAAATTTAGAAATTCGTTTCCGAATCATTCCAAAATATATTGAAGCACCTTGAAACATACTAATTTAATATTGAAACATTGATTGGTATCCATGCCAAACATTTCATTTGTTTCGTGGAAACGAAATGAAATTTTGATCTTTGTACACACAAGAATAAAAAAACCATGTTCTTGTTCACTTGCTGGCTACTTGATTAGTTATTCATGTATTAAAATCAGTAAAAAAGACATTGACATGGGTATTCAGTTATATATCACTGCTTCCGCCAGCCGTCTAAAACTTTGAGGTCTCCTGAACCGGTGTTTCGCCATCTTCAAAGATAATGACTTCGTTGTTTGATTCTTCTTTAACATATCAAATGTGTGCTTATGTCGTGTAAAGCATCTGATTAGTACCTTATTAGCTGCCAAACGTTTTGCAGGTGTATTCTACTTCTGTGGCAATGCTGCTGACCGCTGTTGTTTCTGTGTTTCTATTTGGATTTCATCTCTCCCTTGCCTTCTTCCTTGGCTCCACGTAAGTACCGTCTAGCTATGTCATGTTTTGGACAACCCATCCATTCCTTATATCCGAACCAAAGTTACGCCATCGCCATGTCTTTATTTACAGCGTTGTTTCTGTCTCAATATATCTACACTCACATTGGGAAGCTGCAGAGATAATGATGCCTCCCACCTTCTGAGTCCAGTTGAGTTGCCAGTGTAAAGGCTAATGCTTTTGAATTATTTTCTTCTAATATTCTTTTTCCATCTGATTTCTTAAAATCATCAATTCTGATAACGTGTAATTAATATTTTTTTGTGGGGCTTTAGTAGCTGCCACAATTAGATTAAATCCTAGTGAGGTGGGCGATGATCCCTTACCTCATTCACGGGATTTGCTCATCTTCTTCTCTTACCTATGATAGAATGAAATCCCTTTTGTCAGAGACGATCGAATTACACTTCCCCAACCCGTTATGTGGAATGGCGGTGAGCACCTTTTCCAAATCTCACTTCCTCGTTCTGAAGTCTCATCATCTTCTGGTCCGGGGTTGATTTCGATCTGTTTGAATCATGTGGAGCAGAGGTTGATCGTAGTGTTGCAACTGTTAGATATAGGACATCAAATGGCTTGGATAACATCATTGTGAAGAACTACAGGGTTCACAAAATGGGGAGAATGTAGGTACACAATGGTGATGGAAAAAATGGGACAACCTGAAGGACTGGTGCCAACAAGATGGCTTCTTACCCTATCAAAAATAAGTGGCTTAGCAATCTAAGTTCCTGTCATTTTTTGTGTCCTTTTTTCTGAGTTGGTATCATTGCTTGAACCTTCAACAAGCTCATACTGTTGATTTTTATCGGATAATGAAGCTTAATAGTCTAGTATTGCACAATCATACACCAATTACACACGAAATTAAGAAACATATTAAGCTCAGATTACAATGAAGAAAACTGCAAGAAGTTCCTGCTCAATATTGAAACCACCTGAGCTAAACAAGTAAACAGTTCTGAATTGAAGAATGACAAAGCACACATCCCCAATGCCCATCAAGAATTCAAATTGTATTTTGACGAGGGAAAACTGCAATTTCAACTTATTTTTGCAATTTGTACAGATAACTCCACAATTACTTAGCACCTCACATTTCATTGTACTTGAAGACACAGTCATACAGTCTTCCTCCTAGGAACTGAGCAACCTCTGGGTGCTTCACCTGTTGGAAGAGGCGGAAAAGAGAAAAAAAAAGGGGGGGCGGGACAGAACAAAACAAAAAATGACTTAATATAGACACTAATTGAGCAATGCCTTGGGAAAAGGAAACATGATTAATGTCAGTTAAGTGTTACCATCCCAATCTTGAGTGAATCGCATTTCAATTGAGCATAGCGATTTGTCTCTATTCCACGGCCCTGACAGACAGACATGAAGGCCATTACATAGGTAATGCAAGAACTACCAAATTATAAGCCACAATTCCCAAGAATGAATACATCAATTCCCAAAATCTTTGCGCAGGAATGTAATAAGTCACCAGATATTCCTTGTTTCAAACTTGCCACTAAGTTCACCTTTGTTGATCAATGCAGCCATAATATAGGCAGCCCAGCATTTGAGAGGTAGAGTAACACCATTACTAGTACATGAAGAATAAATGAATGACATGGAAACTGCAACAAGGAACAGTGGCACAAAAAATTATGGGGAGCAAGGGGATTTAATTAACCGGCTATCCTAAGGAGAAACAATACTTTCATGAAGCTTGGAAAAAAAAATGTCAGAAACCTTAAATTCAAGAGATTTGCCAACCCCATTCGGTTGCACGGGAAACATTAACTCATAAGAAATCTCGAATCTGCAGCTATTTCAAATTGTACAGTTGTCCTTAATTACTTCCCTTTCCTCTCATGTTGCTCCTGTTGTTATGCCTCATGATTCATGAGCCCCTAAAAACTAAAAGAAGAGGTTTCAAATGAAATGGGAGACAGATAGAAACAATGCTTCAAAGTTGAAAACTGCATGGGAAAAATTACATCAACAGGTTTGCCAACATCTTAAACACCATTTAATTTTCAATGAAAATGTTTTGCAATCTTCTTCCTTCAGTTTTTCTTCTTTTTTCACAATCCCAAAATGACCGTTCTATTGAAAATTGTTTTGCAATCTTCTGCATACTCTTGTGATATGGGACAAGAAAAAAACCACAGAAAATGTTATTCACCAAAGTCTTCTTAAAAATTTTAATAAGTTTCCAATCAAACTTCCTAGATATCAGTTTCTAAGGAAAAGAAATTCACAAAGCACAAGAACAAAATCTCCATATTCTTAATTCAAACCTATAAAACACAGATACAGACACGATACGAATACGACAAAATCTAAAAAAATAGAATACGGATACGACCAGGATACTAATGTAATATTATAGTTTTTTTAAAATTATTATTATATTGGGAAATATGGGAGTTTGATCCACTTTTTTAGTCTAATTTGACAAAAAGTCAACTCAAAAACTTTGTTGGGTTTAAATCTATTTTGATTTCTATTGTCCAAAATGACCCAGTAGTTTACATCAAATTAAAACAAATTTAAAAACTAAAACTCCTAAATTATATATTCTCTCTCTAATATTATATATACATATACGTGTTTTAACATAATTAACAGTAACATAAGAACGTAACATTGAATAGTAACATAAGTCAATAATATTGAACAATAATATACAACTGTAACATGAACATAATAGTGACAAAATATAGTAACATTTAAAATCAAAGACAGTAACAATAACCAGTAACATGAAGTAACATTATATACTACCATTCATATCTTTCATTTCAGTAACATCATATAGTAACACAAGTGTATCTCATCCTCCTTTCATAAATTAGGAAAAACAGTAACATCATGAAGTAACACCAACAGGTCAGTAACATTATATATTACCATTTATATCCCCCATTTCAGTAACCTGAAATAGTAACACAAGTATACCTCATCCTCCTTTCATCAATTAGGAAAAACAGTAACATCATGAAGTAACTCCAACAGGTCAGTAACATTATATATTACCATTTATATCCCCCATTTCAGTAACATGAAATAGTAACACAAGTATACCTCATCCTCCTTTCATCAATTAGGAAAAACAGTAACAACATGAAATAATGCCAACTGGTCAGTAATATTATATACTACCATCAATATATTACGAGCTTTTTTTTAGTAACATCACATACTTAAAAACAATAACATGATTTAAATAAATCAGAATCAATTGAAATTAGTAACATGATAACTAATACCTGGGTCTCAAAACAATAACACGAATTAGTAACATAGGACCAAAACACTATAATTTAGAACCAAAAAACCACTATAATTTAAAACCAAAACAATAACATTTAAAATAAAAAATAGTAACATTTAAAAATCCCATCACCGAAGAATAGTTGCCAGTTTCATCTTCGAAATCTTCTTTAACCAAATACCAATTCCCTTGGCCATTGATGCTCACAATGACCCTTCTTCTCTCGTGTTGGTCACCTTCTAATAGCCTTTGATGTCCCAAATTTTCTCTACATCATTTCAGTAATAATTGGTTTTTGCTTTGGTGCACAATGACCCTTACTTTCCACCATCATATCTGAGCTTTTTGGACTACAATACTACTCCAAACTCTACAATTTTAGCTCTGTGCGAGCCCAATTGGGTCGTATATACTCAACATGGGGGTCGCTTGACATCTACACGATAAGGAGGCGAAGAAATAGATGGCGGAGAAAGGCGTTGCCGTCCGATCATCACAGGGGACGAAGGGAGGTTGAAGATTGATTGATGGGAATAGATGTGCTGATAGATTAGAAGGATACCAAATGAAGGGTTAGATACAGACAAAATTGTATGAAGAAGAAGAAGAAGTGAAGGAGAACAGTTCGATTTTTTTGAATTTCAAATTTGAGATTGGGAAGATATAAAATCTGCCATCAGTTATGGAATTATGATCTCCAAATCAATTTAGAAACTTTCTTTGACATTAAAACAACCTAATAAGAGTGTTTTAGTAATAAAAAAAAAGAAAAAGAAAAAATCAGAATGGACTTAACTACCAAATAAAATTACTAATATAGGATTAAATGACCCATATGTTTAAGGCTCAGACTTTAAGCCTTATAAGTCTCGTAAATAGGAATGACCCTCAATTATCACTATTATATTTAAGTGAAAATTGAGGGTAAGTCCCTTTAGATGGACTTATAATGACTTGAGTCTTGGAAGAAAATTTATTTAGGGGAAAGTTCATGTTTAAACTTATATGTAAGTACTTAAGTCCACTTATTTTTTATATCTCAAAATTATCCCTAACGGTGTTAGTTTTGCCCAGTTATAGAAAGTCACATAGGTTAGATCATTGAAGTATATATGGAAACTCTTGATTGAGTTATATATGAAAATCATTTATTAAATATTATAATAATTAACGAAAGTTTTATATAGAAGTTATATGTTCTGATAGTTATATATGAGAAACTTAATGTACGAATAAATTGTTGGTCTATTAAGTCAAAATTATATCACAAAATTTCCTTAACAATAGTAACACATAATATAGGGAGGCTGAACAATGCCAACAGAGTTCATTAACACGAATGTTAATATATAGTAATATTTATGTTACTATATGATTGAAGTTACAATTAGGGTCGTGTTACCAGTACAATCGTGTTACTATACTGACATTAATATTACTATAGTGAATTTTAACATACAATTGCAAATCTTGAGACGTATATTATATAACATACATTTTAAAATTCACAATAACATCAAAGTTTTGTGCTCAGTAACACACCTAATTTTAAAGAATACAAGACAATAGTTTTTTTACAGTAACATCAACTTTTGAATAATTTTAGTTAAAATACGATCCACAAATTGAAAATTTACAAAAATGATGAGTAATAACACAATCGATAGTTAAATTACGACACTCAACACCAATTGTGAATATCAAGACATCGAAATTCTGAATTTCATTTTCGGTTCACGTATAGTAATATTAACTTTTTCCACAGTAACACAACCAAGGAATATTCGATTGTCTTGTGCAACAAAAAAATCAACAAAATTGAAATCTATAACACTTTTATTTAGTACTAATGTATAAGTTCTCTTGAATCTTAGTTACAAGGTTAATACCCACTTTAACAAAATTAAATCCCTAATTATTATTACTTTTTTACCATGTTACTATTTTTTTGTGAGCATGTTACTATTTTTTTTGTAATCATGTTACTGTCTTTATTGAGTATGTTACTATTGTTATTTTTTAAACATTAATATTCAATATTAATATTTTGTCGATGGAATAGTAAATTGAAATTGTATTTTATGGAATGTAATGAGTTTGAAATTTGAATATGAACGATTTTTGGTAAATGCCGGTTTCTTATTTTTCGGAGAAGGAAATATTGTGACTTAGAAGATTTGTAGTCAGATTTGAAGGCGATTATAAAGGAGATGTATATAGATGGTTGTTGTGTCTATAAACGTCGTTTATAACATTTTTACTAGAAAGGTTACAATAGTAAAATTGACAAAAAATAGATTTAAAACCAAATAAGTTTCATTGATAGACTTATCTCCAAATAAGTCTATAGGGACCGGCCGCCCAATTTTCCTATATTTAATGTACTAATTATAATTTATAAAGTAACAAGTGAATCACACATATATAACAAGTTCCTAATTCAATTTTTCGTTAGTTCCTAATTCAATTTTTCGTTAGTTCCTAATTTATATATGATAAACAACAAAACATAATAACTCTCTAATTGAGAAGCCCTAAGAGCAAAGTGCCAAGAAGCCTTAATTGCAAATCCTAATTCTAGGTTTGTTCCAGAAACCCTAGTTGCAAAAAGGAGATATGTAAGCCTTAGTCGTGGGTGGGTACAAAGGAAAAGGAAGATGTAGAGAGATAGGAGAGAGAATTAGTGCCCTAATCAAACCTGGACACTAGATTGAGCGAGAAAGAGCTTTATCAGAAAAGGCAGAATCAAAACCCTAAAATTCAGTAGTCTCAAACCTGGACAGTAGTTTGAATCAGTTGTCGAAGCTTCACAGTGCACAGTCTCGAATCTCGACTCAAGCGACGAAGCTTTTTCAGACTTTTGAAGCTTCATAGTCACATAAGGAGTAGCAAGGCAATGCCTGGAACGGTGGAGTGAACACAGGGAAGGACAATGCGTCGTCGAAGAGTTTTGGTCTAAGGGAGACGCGATCTCTCTCTCAGATGTTTTAAGGGTTTGCCCCTCCCCTCCCTCCCCCTTTTTTTTTTTTTTTTGCAAATAAGTCCAAAAGATTATTTTGCTTCGGTTCCCTAATTGTTTTTAAAAATACACATTAAAGTCTGTTGTATCCTCACACGCGTATCCTACCATATTGGGGCGAATCCCGTCCGTATCCGAAACTCAAATTTTATATTTTTTAATAACAGATACATCCCGGGCTCAGTCGTATGGAATAAGTATTCGAATGTATCGTTATTTGATAATGATATTTCACCTATTTTAAAGTATTCATATTTCATAAATTCAAACTATTGCCGAAAAGTCGGTGACCGAATGATATGACAAGTCCAAATATTCTGCTAAACACCATTAGATGTAGCCACAAACTTCTAGATAGAAGATTTCCTCTAAAACCATTTAAACGAATGTAGTTGCCTTCTTGATGTCTTATGTCCTGCTAAGTAGATAGATAACATTTCAACTCTCCAACATCACCACTTTATTCTGACTCACTTCAACAACATGAACTAGTATTTTTTTTCTTTCCAGTTTTTCACACTTAAACAGAAAATATCTTTGGACAGAAAACTTAGTGGGCAAATTCATAATTGAATATTGGGCTTGTTCACTTCAACTTGTGGAAGTTACTACAGGGAAACAAATGGAAGATAATTGGTGTAAGTAAACGCTCACCATTCCTTCCAAAATAACCAAGTCTGCATCACTGGCCAAGTAGGCAAGCTCTTGCGATACTCTACTAAGATCTATAACCTGCAATAAGACGAAGTTGCATGAGGCCATAATAGTATATCTACGAGAATCAAAATGTTGCAGTGATTCTTAAAGATGTTAAAAAGACAAATTCAAGTCATGACATGAATCAAGCAATTTCCTCTTCTTACCGGCAAATCATTACCAGAGTTTACAATCAGAAGATTGGAAGTATCAACGCCGACAAGATGCCCATGTTCATCCTTCAACTGACAATTTAATAAGTAATATGTCAAATTCAATCTAGAAACCGCAATAATCATAAATATCAACATATAAGTTTCTACTACCTTTGAAATAATCTCAATTAGTTCAGGGTAAGTTACATCATTGATAGAAGGTAATTCATTAGCTGCCAACACAACCTGCAACACAAGGGTATCATTTGAGAAATGGAGAGATTATGGAGTCATTTGACAAAGACGGAGATTAGACCTCCAAAAAAATTAATATTCAGCTAATAAAAAGCATGAAGTAAGGTCATTGGTCCAATGACTAAGTTGACTTGTGGGCCATTTCTGGGGCCAAAAAGAACTTTGATTCACTGGGCTCACAATAGTCATCTAGGAAATGATATGGGAGGAACTCTATGTATGGTTAAGGACATGGCTTTTGCATCCAAATCTGCAATTGGTAGAAGTTTACAAAGTTCTTCTGGATAAAAGAAATCAACAATTTAATATTCAGCTACCAAAAAGCATGAAATAAGATCATTGCTCAAATGACTAAGTTGACCTGTGGGCTATTTCTGGAGCCAAAAAGCACTTTGATTCACTGGGGCTCACAAAAGTTATCTTTTTTTTTTTTCACAAAAAGTTATCTAGAAAATGATACTGGAGCCATAATATGTATGGTCAAGGACATGGGTTTTGCATCCACATCTGCAATTGGTTGAAGTTTGCAAAGTTCTTCAGGATAAAAGAAAGCAATAGAGAGCCAAATGGATGGCCACTTGAAGCTTATCCAGCTGGGCCCCAGTCGTATTACATTCCCAAACAGTACGTCTCTTCTTTGATAGATAATTTAGCTGGGGTTTGCCAGGCCTTGTTCTGTACCTTCTTAGCTTAAGCCCCCATGGATGGGCAGTAGAGATAGACCAATTAGGAACATATTCAGAATATTCTGAAAACGTTTTCTTAAAAAGGATTGACATGTAAACATTTTCTGATGCAAAACAGACACAACATAGCATCTTCAGAGACATTAAATTTAGTTTATACGAAACTAAATTCCCAAAAAATTCCTCAGCATTAAACTGAATTAACAAGTCTTATCTCCTTTCCTGTTCATTGATGTCTAAAAGTTGACCTGTGAGAGTGGTCCGTTTAAAGAAGACTGCTTATTGTCCGTACTTTAAGATACAAAGTAATAAAAAATAATAAACAATAAATATATTTATATTCATATTTAAAATCAAATCACAAACATAAAAGAGAGATAAATGAATTTAAGTACTGATTGTAGTAAGAGTGAGAGGTGGTGGACGGTAGTGGTGGTAGAAGACGGTGATGGTTGTGGCGGGTGGCAATGACCGCGGTGGTGGTGGTGGCGGCGACGACAATTGCGATGGTGGTGGTAGTGGTGGCGGTGGTAGAGATAGTGGTGGGGCGGCTTCAAACACTATTTTTTTTAAAAAAAATATTTATGAGAAATAATTTTAGAAATACTTTTAAAAAGTTATTTCAAACACATCTTTATGGGCCTATTTTTTCTATTAAATTTAAAGTATTAATAATAGTCGTTAGATCAACCGTGAATAGCAAAAGTCATTTTATTTATTTTTGAGATTTAAATTGTAAGTTACTTTATTATATAGAAGATATAAGATGACCACATAATTCAACCAACATTAAATAAAGAAAGAAAGAAAGAATATATCCAGACATCTAACTTTGCACCGAAATTCTAACTTTAAAAAACCCACAGAAAAGTAGAATTAGGAAAGTTTATGACAATGAGAGTATTTTTCCATTACTCGAAAAAAAAATAAACAATGAAAGCTATGGCACGGAGTTCCAGTCGGAAAAACTCCACCGGACAACTTAGTTTTCAAACATAGTAATCCGCTGCACAACAGGAAGTAATAGGTTCTGATGGAAAACCTGTGTCCCACGGCGGAGTAACTCTCTCGCAAATGGCAATATACCCAATATTATGTCAGCACCAGAATTATCCACAAAAATGACAGCCTGTCATGAACCCCAAATGAGCAGGTTAGTGCAGAAAACGAACACATAAGATATCCAATCAGTTTATTAAATATGTATTAAAGAAGTAAAGTCCATTTGAATGCAAAAGACATAAATCATATGTATTACAAGGGGAACTTACCTTTTTCCAAGATTTCCTGTCCCATTTGAACATAAAAGTGTCCAAATCATCAATTACCCAAGGTCGAGGGACAAGATTTTGACAACTAGCGATAAAGGATATTCCATCCTTTGAGAATAACTCTGCAAGCTTCAAGAAATTGCAGAAAGACGGTAAACATTAAGTAAGTGCTGCTGAAACAGTTGTAATTTGAATACATTCCGCATATTTTCTTTGATTTACAGGCTGTAGAAGATCCAAATTGTTTGAGCATCCAACTTGTTAGATATTGGTTGGGTCATGGATTCAAACCATGGTGGTCGATCCAAATTAAAGAATGTCCAAAGGGGCATATCTTTTGGAGGTTTCTTTTACCACCTAAAATACGTGTCTGTTAATTATTAACAGACATGTCCCTATAGGATGTGTCTCTTAATGACACCTACTGGTTACCTATATAAACCCAAGACAATTCAATAAATGAGATATCTCTCATAACTACTCTATTTCTCTCTCTCCTTAAAAGATTCCCAACATTGGTATTAGAGCCATTTAGGGTGTTCTCGTATCTTTGAAATTAATAATCAATTGTTTAGAAATATTATTTGCGAAAAAGCTTCAAACGGGCTTTAATAACATCTCGAACAAACGGTCTCCGTTTAATGTAATTCTCTTTTATCAAATGACTCTGTTGTTTAAAAAAAGAATAGATCATGGTCTATTACAATTGTTTATGCGATCAAATTTTAATTGTTTAAAAGATTGAAATAAATGTGTGATTGCTTATGTAGCCTATGACTAATCTATATAGAGTAATGTTAGTATGATGGATATGCAACTTGTATTTCTTTCATTGTTTAATATGATCTAAATTAAAATTCCATATCTAGTGTTATTTAGAATAAAATGTTTATTTTATTGAGAACATGCATGATATGAAATTAATTGCGATCAGTATGCCTAAAGATACTAGATCTAGTGGGAGTTTTATTTTGTTTGGTATTAGAAAACTAAAATTTTGCGCATTAATTAAATTAAGTATTATTAATAATCACCTGTGGTGCAGGAGATGGTTAGGAACTTAGTGAACTTTTGATCTCGCGACTTGAAGTTGTTAATACTTGAATTTAGATTTTTGCAGCAAAATTATAGAATATGTTGCTCTAAATCCCATACGCGTTGTCTCTGCATGTAGATTAAATCATAATGACTACTAAAAGCATAGTGGCTGAATTAACTAAGGGCAACAAATTGAGCAGCGATAACTATGACATATGGTGTCGTAAGATTCAATTTGTCCTGTATGAGTAACAAGTCTTGGATACCCTTGACTCTCTACTGCCAGAACCTGAGCGACCTCAGACCCGCCAATAACAAGAGAATTACCAGTCTTGGCAGAATAAGGATCGACTTGCACGCTATACCATGCAAAATGATCTTATTCCTAAATTTGAGAATTATTCCATAGCTCATGCCATGTGGAAGGCCCTCAAAGAGAAGTTTGGTATTACTTTTCTTGTTAGGTTTCGTGGTTTGACTATGAGATTTGACTCGTATCAAAAGAAGCCAGAGCATACAATGAAGCAATATCTGAGAGTTATGACCTCTATGATACTTGATTTAGCGTTGTTGGTCATGTGTTGACCAATGAAAAACAAGTTCAAGTTGTACTTCGCTCCATTCCACCATCATGGGAGCATATGAAATAAAACATGACGCATAATAAGAGTGTAAAAATATTCGAAAATGTTTCGCCTCACCTTGAGCCTGAGGCTGAGCTCTTGGAGACTACCAAAGGTGAGAGTAGTTCTTATGTGGCTAAAGTTGGCTCGTGCAAGACCTTCGGGTCCAAGCTCAAGCGCGGTAGAAATAGGTCTGATGCTCAAATTGGGGCTGATCATTCTAATTATAACAAGCACAAGCGGGGTAAAAGAGCTGGTAAGAAGAATAAAGCCAACATGGTCTGCTATAATTGCAACAAGAAGGGACATTTCGCTTGTGAATGCACTGAGCCGAAAAAGGTACTCTATAGTTCTGTCTCTCGCATTGACTATTTAGTTACTAGTCAAGTTTTTGTTGCTCACTCTCCTAATTCGTGGATTGTAGACTCAGGAGCAACAGACCACATAACGAGACGCAGATTCAGATTTGCGGAGTATCGTCAAGTTCTAGCTGGAAGCAAACGAATTTACGTGGGGAACGAGACCAATATAGATGTGCTTGGAATTGGCACATACAAACTGGAATTGCGACACAGACGCACTTTATACCTTCATGGTATGCTCCAAGAATTTGAAAAAATTTGTTGCCAGTTACTAGTTTAATGAGACTAGGTTTTTTTTTCGTTTTGAAGGCCAAGATGTTGGCATTTATAGGGGGAACTATATTCTATGGAGTTGGTTATATCACATATGATTTTATTGTATTAGATATTGATCATTCTAGTAATGAAATTTATTCTTATGTTACATCTATGGATAGTGTTGATTCTATTAGATGATATGCTAGACTAGGTCATATTGGAAAAGACAGAATCAATAGATTAGCTAGAGAGGAATTTTTGGGCCCACTCGCTAAAATCAACTGGCCCACATGTGAAAATTGTTTCACAGGTACAACAACTAGAAAACCATTTGGTAAGGCCAATAGAGCATCTATTCCATTGCAATTAATACACTCAGATATATATGACTCAATGAATGTGCAGGTAAGACATGATGCATCCTATTTTATCATTTTTATAGATGACTTTACATGCTTCAGTCATGTCTATTTGATTTCTCACAAGTCTGAAGCATTGGATTGCTTCAAACGTTATATTAAAGAGGTTGAGAATCAACGAGACTATGACATTAAGATTCTTAGAACCGATCAAGGTCGCAAGTATCTATCTGAACAGTTTAAAGAGCTGTGTGAAGAAAAAGGAATAATCAGGCTATTGACAATACCTGACACTTTGCAACAAAATGGTGTAGTAGAGAGACGAAATCACACCTTGCTTGATATGGTTAGGTCTATGATGGCACAGACTCATCTTTCGATTTTATATTGGGGAGATGCCTTATCGACTGTTGCTTATATCCTTAACCGAGTGCCTTCTAAATCAATTCCTTTTACCCCGTATGAGTTATGGACAGGCACAAAACCTGACTTGAATAATTTACGGCCATAGGGTTCAACGGTTTATGTACACAATACTTCTCATAAATATGGGAAGTTAGGTCCTAGAAGGAAGAAGTGTATCTTCATCTGCTATTCTGAGCACTCTAAGGGCTATGTGTTTATAGGTGAACAATTTGATGGAAGGGTAACTGAAATTGAGTCACGGGATGCAATTTTCCTTGAAAAGGATTTCCCTAGCAGAGGAGATGTGTCTAAAGGAATAGAACTCTATGAGTTAGATGATCCCTAAAGAGATATACCCACTAACCAAGTAGAGATCGAGAAAATAATTTTGTCACCTCCTAGGGATAGTGGGAGCAATATACTTAATGGTGGATCAGTTCCAATGGATGTAGATCCATACGACACAGAGTTACGTAGAAGCAAGCGTGGAACCATACCTAGACGTCGTTTTGAGATTGATGGGGAAACTTTCATGATTGCTCCACATCATGATGTTGAACCTAAAATATTAAAGAGACTCTATCATCACTTGCTAGTAATGAGTAGATAGTTACAATGAATGACGAGATGGAGTCAATGAAGGTTAATCAAGTCTGGGACTTGGTTGACCTTCCGCTTGGGTGCAAAGCCATTGGGAACAAATGTGTTCTCAAAATTAAGTGCAAGGCAGATGGATCCATAGAAAGGTATAAGGCTCGCCTAGTGGCAAAAGGTTACACCTAGAAAGAGGTTGTGGACTATGAGGAAACTTTTCCTCCAGTTGTAAGGTTTGCCTCGATTCGCATGATTCTAGTTATTGTCGCACATTTGAATTTAGAACTATATCAAATGGATGTTAAAATTACATTTCTTAATGGAGAACTGGATGAGGAGATCTACATGGATCAACCTGAGAGCTTCATGGTGGTGGGGAACAAAGTTTGTAAACTCCAACGATCCTCAGTCATCTAGACAATGGTATCTCAGGTTTCACCGAGCTATCATTTCTAATGAGTTTACGATGATCGATGAAGATCATTGTGTGTATGTTAAACGGTTTGAAGATAGCTTTTTAATTCTATCTTTGTATGTTGATGATATTTTAATAGCTGAAAATGATAAGGAGATGATTATCACTACTCAAAAATGGTTGTCCTCAACATTTGAGATGAAGGACTTGGGTGAAACAAGTTATGTGCTCAGAGTTAAGATCTTAAGGGATCGTTCTAAGAAAATTCTTGGTTTGTCTCAAGAGACTTACATTAAGAAGATATTTGAACTATTTTAAATGCAAAACTGCAAACCTATAGACACTCCTGTAGCGAAAGACCATAGCCTAAGCCTAAAAATGTGCCCTAAATCTCCTAAGGAAAAGAAAAGGATGACTCGTGTTCCCTATGCCAGTACTGTAGGTAGCTTAATGTACGTTATGATATGTACCCGTCTCGATATTTGCAATGCGGCAGGCCTAGTTAGTCGTTTTCAGCCAAATCCTGGAATAGCTCATTGGAAGGCAGTCAAAAGGATACTACGATATCTCAAGGGAACTTCAAATTATATGTAATGTTACCAATCTCCAGATTTAGAAATGGTTGGTTATAGTGATGCTGATGGGGTGGTGATATAGATGAATGCAAGTCTACATCAGGATATGTTTTCTTGCTTAATAAAGGGGCCATTACATGGAGTAGTAAAAAACAATCATGCATATCCTTATCTACCATGGAAGCAGAATATGTGGCTTGTTCTGCTGCTGTACAAGAAGCTGTTTGGTTAAGAAGGTTCTTTCAACATTTAGGAGTTGTCACACGTACCTTGGGCCTAGTGACAATTCATTGTGATAGCATGACTGCATTAGTTTATCCTAAGGATCCTAAGTATCATGAAAGAACCAAACACGCAGATCTAAGATATCATTACATTAGAGACATGATTGCACAAAAAGAAGTAATCTTGAAACACATACCTACAACTCAGATGGTTGCAGACCCCTAACTAAGCCTATAGCTAGAGATGTATATATGGCTCATGTTAGAATTCTAGGACTTCGTAGGTTTTGATTATGCGCTAGAGATTGTATGGATCACATAGTCATTTGTATTGATATTTTTTGGGATATTAATACATGGTTTTAATTGCAATTAAATGTTAAATTGCTTGATTACCTTGATATTTGAGAAAGCACATACATTGAGTATGTTAGATGGCGTGATTGGCTCACTCACACGAGCAATTGCCTTTGGAGTTTGATATGGAAAGCAAAGATGAGATACTCTAGCATATAGTATCGCTCTGTTTTGTATACAAAATGAGATCTGACATTGGAGGATCGATAATGGAAACAACTCCATGTCCATTATGCCTGTGTTTGTTGATTAGCCAGATGCGAGATCTTAATTTGGCATCTTTGGATGGCGAGCAAATACGGGTTAGACGTTTGTAGAGCGACTAGACTAAGATCTGTACGATGTCTGAATATGATATACGCTCTAATTAGGATCGAGACACTTCACCGTAACATGTATTTCATACTATATGTGCTTGGCGACAATTAAGGAGGTGAAGGAATGGATCCCTACTTCCTCATTGTGTGAGCCCTCCGAGTCATTTTTACATGACCATGTTATTTTGTTTAACCAAACATTTTATGTACTCTTTGACTTTTGACTATGTCAAAAAGTGAAAGAATTAATGCTCAGCTACTTTGTCATGTTACTTACAGCCATGAGTGATTTAGCCTTCTGGGACATTGCTGGGAAACAGTTATTTTTGAACTAAGTGACATAAAGGCGAAAGGAAGATCATTTGGAACATCCCGCGATATATTCACTGTCGATAACTTTGGGCGGTAATTTAGATAGTGATAAAGTGTGAATGTATAGGCGAAGGCTTCGAGGGGTTATGCATGCTCTTATATTGTGGATTAGAGATGCTTGAACCGGTGTATCTGAATGGATCTAGAATACTTGAGACACCATTTTTATTTTTTTTTATTTTTTGGGTTGATGTCTCTATGCTGGCTCTGTAGAGTTTCTAGTGTAGAGCTCCCAAATTGCAGTTGTGCTCAGCTGTCGCATGACCCATTAGCCTGTATAAATTGATTGTGATGTATATAATGGATTGAGAGAGATGATAATGTCGTGCCCACCACGTGCGAGTGGGAGATGTTAGATATTGGTTGGATCATGAACTCAAATCGAGGCGCCCATGGTGGGTCAACCCAAATTAAAGAATGCCCAAAAGGATATGTCTTTTGGAGGTATTCTTTACCACCCAAAATACATGTCTTTTAAATATTAACATACATATCCTTATAGGATGTGTCTCTTAATGACACGTATTGGTTGTCTATATAAACCCAAGACAATTCAATAGATGAGATATCTCTCATACCTACTCTATTTCTCTTTCTCCCTACATAACGTTAAAAGACTTTTGTGCAGTAAAAATTCAGTGTTGATTCCTATTGTGTAATAACATCATACTGCTTGAGCAATTAAAAGAAAGACGTTGATTTAAATTTAAAGTACGTGGAACATCCTTAAACGATTTTTGGATTAAAACAAATAAGGTATATTTTTGATCCTACGCTTCCGCAATATGTTATATGATTCCCAACAACCCAAAACCCACCCTCGTGTCTACTGTCTACATAATTTTTCGATGTGGATGTCTCTCTTCACACCCTTCCTCACGTGTGACTCAGCCCCCACACGTGGGTTAACCAACTAAACTGAAACAAACTGGCAGAATGGAGCTAAATCGAAACAAACAAATAAACAGACCATGAAATTTAACTGGGTAAGATACTTAGGCCACCAACTACCTAAGGTGCAACTCTCATATCTTGATCGAGCATCCAACCAAAAACCAATTTGTAATGGGTGGAACCCCTCAAATATATAAACCAACCTTCGGTTTACTTACTTTTCGATGTGGTATATCTCTCTTCACAAAGATTATAGGATGTTACATCCTAATAATCATTGTAAGAGACATTTCCCAAAATTCTAAACTGTTTCTAAAACTTCAAAGGATACAAGGCCCCCCCCTATTACTTTAGTCTTTGCATTCTTCATAAAAATGTGAGGCCTGTTAGAGACATTGGGATCAGAGGGTTAAAGGCCTCCAACACAAAACCAATTGAAAATAGGTGAAGAGATTGCTCAATCATGTAAACCAAATCTGAGTCACCCAAATATTTCAATATGGTATTCAAGCACGCGCCGACGCTTATGATGCATTCACAAACACGTCTGCCGAGACCTTGGTACATGTGACACACCTAACTATGAGATATTGTATAGGATCTACAATGAAGGTCTATTCAGGCTTAAAAAAAAGTCACCTGTGACAGAGATCTTCTAGTTCATAAGTCTCCAGTGATTGATATTCTACCAGTGAGATCACAATGAATGAAGAAATGTATTAAAAAAGGATGCTCTACAAAAATAATAGTGATAGTACCATATCAATTATGTCATGTCGATAGATAGCACCTAATTAAGCTTCAACTGGGACACCAAATGACCGATTGAAAATTTTAAAAGCTAAATAATCTTAACTTCCAAATTTATTTAACTTAGAGCATGTCATACCTGTGCAGAACCAAGATAAAATATGTTCCCTGCAAATATTCCTCTAACCAGATTCTCTACACGCTTGGCATCATCCTCTATAGCATCATTAAGATGAACAACATCCTCAAATAAGGATATTGCCTTGGAATTTTCTTCATCCTGATGCATTTGTCCACAAAAAAGGGTTCTTCAATCAACCAGATTTCATGTTTTTATCAGGAAAACGAAAGATGAAAAACAAATGATAACTGCTTACAGTGGAAACTGATGACCAGGGGTTTGGACCCAATACAGGGAGAGAGAGAGAGGGGAGCATGGAGAGGGGCCAATGCTGTAATCGCCCCCCTTTACCCACCAACCCACCTCACTTTTGGGGATAATTTATTTCCACACAATAATGTGTTTGATTGTCGGTTTGACATATTCTCTATGATTTCACTCATGTCGACGACACATATTTTGTAGCATCTCCTTGATAATTAAAATCATTGGGATGCTTCTTTGATGATTGCAATGAATGAAAATCAGCTCACCTTAACCTTCCTGAATATATCTTTGAATCCCACTTCCCTCAGGACTTGCTCACGAAGCTGGCAAAGAAGCTAATATAATCCAGATAAAGAATACATACTCAGATTCTTCATGATTATATGAACCCATCCATTACTTGAAAAGAGCAACAGTCAACAAAGCTATTTAGGAAAAGATGGAGTTTAACTCACAATGCAATCAGGTGGCCCACCATGACTTTTAGGATCTTTCTTAAAATCCTCCAGTAGTTCAGCATACCTTTCAGAGACAAAGTACACACAAACAACACAGTCAAAAGGTTAACTATGAATCTATGACCAACAAATTGAGGAGGAAAAAGGAAGTGAATATCGATTCCTATACAACTAGGGCCAAATTGTAATCCTCTTGGTTAAAATATGAGTCCATTTAAAAGTATGGCAAGATAGAAATTCTAGGTTCGGTCCAAAGTTATTGTCATTCTGCCAAGCCGAAATAATGGACTGAGTCTTAACGTTACCCAGCATAGTTCTTTCCTCAAAAATAGGGCAAAGTCTGGATTTAAAAAGGATCGCCTGAGCATGGTAGAGAGCTAAATTTTGATTGTTGATTCTACTATAGAGCCAAAGGTTATGCCCTTAAATGTTAAAAAACCCAGATGACTCAGGTCAGGGTACTATGATAGAAGTCCTTAAGCCAGTATATCATATTACCACCAAGCTTATATTTGAAGCACTTAGGTGGATCCGATAACATGAGTTTGCCATGCACAGATGTATACAATATACTTGGTGTTGAGAAGATGAGGAAGAAGTTTGAATGCAAGAAGGTAATTATTGTGACCATGCACGTCCCAAGATTAATAATTTCAGATTAACACCACTTACAGTTCACATCCCATCTTCAGCTTTCTATCACAGAATAACACACGAAACTAATTACTCATGTCCCCTGAGTATATGCATAGAATACAATAGTGATACTATTTTCTTTATTTATGTGATGGGAAAGAAAATTATTTAACTGGTTTACTTGAATATCTGTGTCATGATGGGTATGCCGGCTCATGGTTCAAAATCGTGGTATCAGCTGTCGACTCGGAGGGTGTTGGTATACATCAGTTGTGGCGTGGTATCGGTTGATACGCTCAAAACGTAAGATAGAAGCACCAAAAATATTTGAAAAATTTATAAAAAATTCTAAAATATAAACATCACCATTCATGCATTATATGTTTACAATACATCCAAAAATACATTAAACATAATTAAAATGAAACATAAAACCGCTACCGAAAATAATTATCATTATCAATGTTCATCGTAGGCATTTAGGAACATATTGAGTCATAATCATTGCCACATTGAATGACGAGGAGGCTCAAAATTGCCGTTATTGATTATTAAAAAACAATACTTGAAATATTTATTCAATAATCGTCATAATTTAAATAATGTAATTGTAACATTTAATTTAACATAATTTGAAGTAGAACATATATCCACTCATTATATCAAATTAAAAAAATACTAATTTTTTAATTATTATTATAAAATATTAATGTATCTAATTATTAGATTGAGACTTTTTTTACCACAAATAAAACAGTAGCTGCCAAAAAAAAAAAAACAACCTCTTGAAATATATAAGGAATCGAACCAATGACTTCCAGGTTGATAACCAACCCTCTCTACCAATTAATCCCCTGCTCTTATAGAACTTTCAAAGACAAACATAAATATTTAAAGACTCAGTAAAAAAGAAAAAGGCACACACTCACAGACCAGTCACGACGACAGAGAGAGAGGAAGACAAACAGAGAACCAACAGACTCCCCGTCACAGCAACACCGACACTCACCACCACCGACGATTCTTTGTCTATCGTCACAGCACCTAAGAATATCGTCACAGCAAAGGAGAAAGAAGAACCGAAGAAAAAACAGAAGAAAAAGATGCAAACCCTATTTGGTTCGATCTACAGGTATGTTATAAATGCTTAGTTTTCTTGGTTTTTATAGTTGAAAAAGAGAGTTTAGATTACCAATTTCGTGTGATTTCTACTGTAGGTTTAATTTTCACATGGGTTTCTGACGAGAGTAGCAGACTGGTAATGGGTCTTTCGATTCTTTTATTTCCCATCTTTTTTTTGGATTTTTGTTTAGTTTTCGGGAATGATTGACTGATTTTTAGGTTTTTACAGACGTGAGTCTTGGATTTTTGTTCTTTGTCTCAAATTTTGGGAGATTTTTGCACTGGATTTTTCGTCTGAGCGATTTCGAGGAATCATCTGTCATTTTCCTGTTTGACATACCGTTATCGTATTGAGAGTGATCGGGTCGTATCGGACTTGGTCGATACCTAGAACCATGTGCCTGCTCCTAATGTTCTTTGAAACTTTCATAAGGCTAGGAATGGACTTTGATTTAAATTCAGTTGAAAACTTCAAATCCCTTCTCAACTCTTTGAAATTAACTCAAAGCCAATTCAATAGTCCAAATTAATAAGGTGGTCTTATTCTAACACCACGTTAACAATACCAATTCATCAGTTTATAAAATTAAAGAATCAAATACAGATGCAAGAACATCGCCTCTCCATAGACTCTCTATACTCGATAGGCTATTAGTACCACGCAGAAGTGCCTGATTTGGAAGCTTCTTTTGCTAATTTCACAAATAAGTAGAACCAGTGTGAAGCGATGGTTTATCATACCTGAACATGAGATACTGGAGATAGTGCACTCTGTAGGGGAAGGATAATATGGCTTGTCATGTGATGACATAATTGGCTCACTGTTTGCTATATAACTAGTTTCCTACCGTAGAGTTAACATTAATAATAACTTCAAATTCTCAACCTCCAACAAGATGAATACTGTCCTCTCTTACACAAAGATAACAAATACACAGGGGATTGATCTTAAGGACTGTGGTAAAGACCGTCAAGGTTTGAATCCAACAAAATGGCACCATAGATTGACAACAAGTACATCAGTCAATGATATTTCAAGGCCAGGTTGATTAAAATAAAAATTGATAATAATAGGAATCTTGATATTTAAAATCTTTGGAATGTTCAAGCAGAAGGATGTGGGAGTGGGTGTGGGTGTGCTGAGTAAAGATGGTAAGGTATTAATAAAGATGTCTATCTGATAATAATCATCCCCATTAGCATAGCCCATAGAAAGGGAAAAAAGAAAAACCCAAGGTTGTAGCATATGTTAAAGGAGAAAGATTACGAAAGGCATTTTACAATATACAAGAAGAATTTTACATTAGATACCTTTGAGCAAACTTGTCAGCTCTGATGGGAGCATCAGAAACGGTATCATCACTCTCGGCCCGTTTTCTGCCGCAAAAAGAACAAATAATGGATTGTTATATTACCATATCCTATGAGATGAGGGAGGGCGAGGGCGAGGGCGAGGGCGATAAATCCAAATTCAAGAAGCACAATGAATGCAAACAATATAAACACAATATTTTTAGGAAAGAAGAAACAAAAGCCATAAAGAAAGAAAGACATAATGAAATCAAAAACCGTGAATTAGGCAGAGAGGTAGGTAGGTTTTGGAACCAAATAGCTAGAGAAAAAAGAAAGAAATATACCGGAAAGAGGGGATGGAATTGAGGAAGAGATCAATCCAAGAGAGCTCGGTGGGTGTTGGTTTCTTGGGATTGTCCGATGGGAATCTGTAAGGGATGGTGCATGCCCTGTAATTGGACTCGATTGGTGTCATTAGCAAAGGGAATGGCACCATCTCGCAACAGAGTGTTGGTTTCTTGGGATTGTCCGATGGGAATCTGTAAGGGATGGTGCATGCCCTGTAATTGCACTCCATTGGTGTCATTAGCAAAGGGAATGGCGCCATCTCGCAACGGCTCTTTCTCTCTCTCTCTCTATATATATATATACTAGTCGTACCGTATCTAAAAATATAAAATTCAAGCGCTTAAACAATTGATCTCACTATATTAAATTTTTTTCAACATGTGTATACTATTGTATATGAATAATGTTTGAAATAAAAATTATATTAAATACAAATTAACTAAATTTTAAATAATTAAACATATAATAGAAATGAGTGATGTAATATTTTAAGGCAGAAATATATAAATGATTAAACATGTAATAGAAATGAGTGATATAATATTTTAAGGTGAAAATATATAAATGATTAAACATGTAATAGAAATAAGTGATGCGACTTGATGTTTGAGTGAATGAGTGATGTGACTTGACGTTTAAGTATGATAAAGGGATAATAGATGAGATAAGTGGTTGATGATGGTTTTGAGGGGAAAAATATAACTGGGATAAATTCAGAGTATGAGTTGTTTTATTATATAGATAAATACTAGTTATTGTCTGTACCTGAAGGCACAAAGTAATAAAAAATAGTTATAATAAACATATTTGTATTCGTATTCAAAATCAAATCACTGACATAGAAAAAAGATAAAAAGATTTAAACATCAGTTTGTAGTGAGGGGTGAGAGGTGGTGGGTGGCAACCGTGGTGGCGATGACGATAGTGGTGGTGGCGGTGGGGGTGATAGCGGCGGTGGTAGTGGTGGTGGTGGTGACAGCGGTAGTAATAGTGGCGGTAACGATGATAGTGGTGGCGGCAGCTGGGGCGACGGTGGCAGTGGTGGTGATGGCAGCGACGGTGGCGGTGGTGGTGATGGCAGCGACGGTGGGGACATCGAGGGCGGTGGTGATGGTGGTGGTGGTGGCGGCGACGACGACGGTGGCGATGGTGGTGGTGGCGACAGCGGTGGCAGTGGCGGTGGGGCGACGACGACGGTAGTGGTGGTGGTGGCGACGACAGTGGTAGTGGCGGCGGTAGTGGTAGAAATAGTGGTGCGACGGTTTCAAACAATATTTTTTTAAAAGTATTTATGAGATATTTTTTAATGCGATCTCAACTGTGAATAGTAAAAGTCATTTTGTTTATTATAATTATTATTATACTTATTTTATAAAATTATTATACTTAAATAAGTATAATAATTTTATACTTATTACTCTGTAATCTGCTATAAATAAAAATAATGTATTGAAAAATGACTTTTCGATACTAAATTCTAACCCTTAGTTACACAAGAAAATTATAACTTAGATCTAATGATTTTATTAATCTATCAGAATTGATTGATTGGTTATGTGTTTTTCTTGCTCTACAAATATAGGTGATTGATTTTGGAGAGTTGGAAGAAAGTTAATTCATCAATTTTTTCATTTTTTATATTTTTCTTCCTTATCAAGTATGATATTTTATCTATCCCTCCAAATTTTAATCTTTCAAACTTTTCATCCTTCTATTTTTCTATCCTATCAAACAAAACATTAAAGTATTGATGTGGTTCCTATTTAATCCATGGAATTTCGATTTGTACAATTTAATCCTTAAAGTATTGATTGTGTTGCCATAGAGACTTTTGTCCATATTCATCACAAACATCAAACGGTTAGTCAAATTCATAAGGATATTTTTCGTTTGTTTCTCTCATTATCTTTACCTACTACTCTAACCATAGTTATATCATTGACCCTTACCCTTAACTTATATATGGTGAGGTGGACAATGAGATTAACACTGATAAAGATGTTGAAATTGATCCAGATTATTCGGGCTTGAATGATTGTGTTTATGATATGAGTGATAATGAATTGCATGTAAAAAATGTGGACACAGGTGTTGAGTGGGAAGGCCTTGGATCATCAAATGTTAAAAGTGAGATGAGTAAAAAAAAATACAATTTCGACAACTTAATTACAGATGAAATTAACTTCATTTTATGTGATGGATGAAATTTTTAAGTGGACAACTCTTTCTTGGACTGGTATGTTTGGAGAAATAATCTATGATATAAAATAAGGTAAATTTCTTTCAGAGTAATGCTACATGCACTTAAAAAGTAGACTTAAAAATTAGACTTGGTAATCTCAATCATTGATTTCATTGTGGGTCTCAGCATTTATTGGGATCCACTATCTATTCAATAGTTGTGATTATCAAATCTAATTTTTAAGTCCATCTAACATTATTCTTTCAACAAACTCATCCGAAGGTCTCAAATAGACTTATTCAACGATCACCAACATCCTTCTCAAAACTATTCATATTACATCTTACCTTCAGGCACGAGTTACTCCTAGTCTATATAATAAAACAACCAAGTGTTTAAAATTTTATTGCATATATATTTTCCCCCAAAAATCATTACATCACTCATTTATAACACATACTTATTTATGTAATATTTGATTAATTTATAATTTATTATAATTTTTATTTCAAACATTATTTACATACGATAATACATACATATTAAAAACATTTATCGGATTACGTATTTTTGTTGATATTTTTACAAAACTAATGGGTAAAAAATAAATTTTAAATGATGTAATCAAATGAATGAAGGAAAGAAAAATTGTTATTTAATATAGTGGAATCAATTTTTTAGATACTTGAATTTTATATTTCATCGTGCCTTCAGACACGAGTTATGATTGTTTTCTCATATAATTGATAGGGTAACATTCAAATCATATAATTAATGTAAGGTTGATATTAATTTGTTGGTGAAGATTTTGAAGTTGATACAACAACTGCCAAATCATATTGTTTATGCATTCAATCAAACCAAATCATATTGTTTATGGACTCAATCAAACCAAATCGGCTGCTGCAATGATTTTGTATTCTTTATTAGGTATTGAGAATAGTCAAATTGATAGATCAATAATTAAACTATAAAATGATTGATGCTTGGTTTACGAGAAGCCAATATATGGTTTTGTAATGTCATTAACTCACGCCAATAATTCTTGTGTTGAGTTATTTTTAAATAAAATAAGAAGAAAAATAAATGATAAAATTTTATACGTATTACTTTGTAATCTATTTAAAATAAAAATAATGTATTGAAAAATGATTTTTTGATACTAAATTCTAACCCCTTAGTTACACAAGAGAATTGTAACTTAGATCTAATAATTTTATTAATCTATCATAATTGATTGATTGGTTATGTGTTTTTCTTGCTCTACAAACATAAGCGATTGATTTTAGAGAGTTGGAAAGAAAGTTAATCCATCAACTTTTTCATCTTTTCTATTTTTCTTCCTTATCAAATATGATGTTTTATCTATCCCTCCAACTTTTTATCCTTCGAACTTTTCATACTTCCTTTTTTCTATCCTACCAAACGAAACATTAAAGTATTGATGCGGTTCCTATTTAATCCATGGAGTTTCGATTTATACAATTTAATCCTTAAAATATTGATTGTGTTTCTATGAGAGACTTTTGTCCATATTCATCACAAACATCAAACGGTTAGTCAAATTCAGAAGGGCATTTTTCGTTTGTTTCTCTCGTTGTCTTCACCTACTACTCTAACCATAGTTATATCATTGACCCTTACCCTTAACTTATATATGGTGAGCTGGACATTGAGATTAACAGTGATAACGATATTGAAATTGATCCAAATTATTCGGACTTGTATGATTGTGTTTATGATATGAGTGATAATGAATTGCATGTAAAAAATGTGGGCACAGGTGTTGAGTGGGAAGGCCTTGGATTAGAAAATGTTAATAGTGAGATGAGTAAAAAAAAAAATACAATATAGACAACTTAATTGCAAATGAAATTAACTTAATTTATGTGATGGAAAATATTTTCAAGTGGACAGCTCTTTCTTGGACTGGTATGTTTGGAGAAATCATCTATAATATAAAATAAGGTAAATTTCAAAAAACCTATCCGACGGTTTCAAATAGATTTATTCAACGACCACAAATATTTTTCTCAAAACTATTTATATTACACCGTATCTTCAGGCAAAAGTTACCCCTAATCTATATAATAAAACAGGTAGGTGTTTAAAATTTTATCACAAACATATTTTTCCTCCAAAATCGTCACATCACTCATTTATAACACATACTTAATTATTTAATATTTGATTAATTTATAGTTTATTATAATTTTTATTTCAAAGATTATACTCATACGATAATATATGCATATTGAAAAATTTTATCGGATTATGTATTTTTGTTGATATTTTTACAAAAATAATGGGTAAAAAATAAATTTTAAATGATGTAATCAAATGAATGAAGGAAAGAAAATTATTAATTAATATAATGGGATCAATTTTTTAGACACTCGAATTTTATATTTTATCTTGCCTTCAGACACGAGTTATGGTTATTTTCTCATGTACTTGATAGGGCAGCAATCAAATCTTATAATTAATGTAAGGTTGATCTTAATTTGTTGGTGAAGATTTTGAAATTGATAAAACTGTTGCCAAATCATATTGTTTATGCACTCAATCAAACCAAATTGGTTGCTGCAATGATTTTGTATTCTTTATTAGTTGTTGAGAATACCCAAATTGATAGATCAATAATTAAACTATAAAATGATTGATGCTTCGTTTACGATAAGCCAATATATGATTTTTTAATGTCATTAATTCACGCCAATAAATCTTGTGTTGTGTTATTTTTAAATAAAATAATAAAATAAGATGACTAATAAATGATAATATTTTATACGTATTACTCTGTAATTTGCTAAAAATAAAAATAATTTATTATTTTTTTGGTCAAGGACAAATAAGACACACACACAGAGTCCACACATCATAACAACTCAAGCACAAGTGGCAGAAAGGGACCCACAAGCCCACCCCATCCAGACAACTGCTGATTGGAGGGGAGGAGAGCAGGCCACTTATACTCACGCCTAAAGTGTTGAGCAACCGATGTGGGAAAAAGAAAATTGGTTTTTTTGGTCAAGGACAAATAAAACATACACACACACACACAGTCCACACGTCAT